ACAGCATTTCACCATGTTGGCCAGGCTGGTCCTAAACTCCTGACCTCAAGTGATCCACCTGCCTCAGCTTCCCAAAGTGCTGGGATTACAGGCGTGAGCCACCTCATCCAGCCTATGATCTCATTTAACTGTATTTATAACAAACCCCAAAATAACAGGGGCTTCAACAGGATAGAACGTTATTTCTCGTCTCACATAAATAGTCCATAGGGACCAAGAGCTGTGGCTCATGCCTATAATCTCAGCACTTTGGGAGGCTAAGACAGGTGGACTGCCTCAGGCCAGGAATTTGAGACCACCCTGGCCAACATGGTAAAACATGGTTTCTACTAAAAATACAAAAATTAGCCAAGTGTGGTGGTGCACACCTGTAGTCCCAGCTACTTGGGAGGCTGAGGCAGGAGAATCACTTGAACCCAGAAAGTGGAAGTTTCAGTGAACCAAGATTGCACCACTGCACTTCAGCCTGGGCGACAGAGTGAGACCCTTTCTCAAAAAAATCCAACCCAGGCTGGGCACTGTGGCTCATACCTGTAATCCCAGCATTTTGGGAGGCCGAGGTGGGTGGATCATGAGGTCAGGAGATCGAGAGCATCCTGGTCAATGTGGTGAAACCCCGTCTCTACTAAAAATACAAAAAAATTAGCTGGGCATAGTGGCACACACCTGTAGTCCCAGCTACTCAGGAGGCTGAGGCAGGAGAATTGTTTGAACCCAGGAGGCAGAGATTGCAGTGAGCCAAGATCACGCCACTGCACTACAGCCTGGGTGATAGTGTGAGACTCTGTCTCAAAAAAAAGAAAAAAAAAAAAAAAACTCCTGACCTCAGGTGATCTGCACGCCTTAGCCTCCCAAAGTACTGGGATTACAGGCGTGAGTCACCATGCCTGGCCCAAGAATCCCTCTTATAATGAAACTTTTTAATTTGATTTTTATTTTTTCTTAAGTCCCCATTATGCCCGAGAATGACACTTATTATTTCTTACAATTTTGGGACTGGTGACTTCCCAACTTGCGTCTCCCATGGTCTGGAGCTTTCTTTTCTTTCTTTCTTTTTTTTAAAGATGGGGTTTCTCCATGATGGCCAGGCTGATCTTGAACTCCTGACCTCAGGTGATCCACCCACCTCGGCCTCCCAAAGTGCTAGGATTACAGGCGTGAGCCACCGCGCCTGGCCTCAGTCTGGAGCTTTCACTTTTTGGGTTGTCTCTCTATATTGTGGGGCTTTGGAACGTCTTCTCCTTTCTCACTCTTGGGGAAAACTCTCCACGGCCGTGTAGGTGGATGGCGTCAACCCTAGCTCCACAACAGCTGTGTGAGCTTTCCAGTTACATTCCCTCGGTGCCTTAGTTTACTTGTTATTATCACTACTTTTAGAGATAAGCTCATGCTCTGTTGCTCAGGCTGGAGTGCAGTGGTGTGATCATACTTCGCTGCAGCCTTATTTTTTCTTTTTTTTTTTTGGGACGGAGTTTCGCTCTTGTTACCCAGGCTGGAGTGCAATGGCGCGATCTTGGCTCACTGCAACCTCCGCCTCCTGGGTTCAGGCAATTCTCCTGCCTCAGCCTCCTGAGTAGCTGGGATTACAGGCACGCGCTACCATGCCCAGCTAATTTTTTGTATTTTTAGTAGAGACGGGGTTTCACCGTGTTGACCAGGATGGTCTCGATCTCTTGACCTCCTGATCCACCTGCCTCGGCCTCCCAAAGTGCTGGGATTACAGGCTTGAGCCACCGCACCCTGCTTCGCTGCAGCCTTAAACGAGGCTCAAGTGATCCTCCTGCCTCATCCTGCCAAGTAGCTGGGACTATAGGTGTGCGCCACCATACCCAGCTAACTTTTAAATAATTTTTTTGTAGAGACAGGGTCTTGCTGTGTTGTGTTGGGATTACAGGCGTGAACCACCATGCTTGGCGTTCAGTTAACTTATTCTCTGAGAATGGTGATAGTCCCACATGGATTCTCCTTGGGATTAAGAGGGTACCTTAAGGCCAGGAACAGTGGCTCACAACTGTAATCCTAGTACTTTGGGAGGCCAAGGCAGGTGGATCACCTGAGGTCAGGGGTTCGAGACCAGCCTGGCCAACATGGTGAAACCCCGCTTCTATCAAAAAGACAAAAATTTGCTGGGCGTGGCACTTGCCTGTAGTTTCAGCTATTTGGGAGACTGAGGCAGGGGAATCACTTGAACTGGGGAGGCAGAGGTTGCAGTGAGCCAAGAGTATGCCACTGCACTCCAGCCTGGGCAACAGAATGAGAGTTCATCTAAAAAAAAAAAAAAAAAAAAAAAAAAAAAGAGGCCACCTTGATATCACATTTTGCAGGGATGGGGCATTTGAGTTAGGGCCTGGTCAGAAGTTCGCCCTAAATCACACTGCACTTCTCTCTCTTCATCCTCATAGGCCCGTTTCTCCCGCCGTCAGCCCTGCTGCCAGACCCAGACTTCTTCTCTGGCACCGTGTCCCTGCCAGGCCTGGAGCCCCCTGGCGGGCCTGACCTCCTGGACGATGGCTTTGCGTATGACCCCCCCCCACTCTTGACCATGCTGGACCTGCTGCCCCCGGCGCCGCCACACGCCAGCGCTGTTGTGTCCACTGGGGGTGCTGGGGCTGTGGTTGGGGAGCACCCCGGCCCTGAGCCGCTGACACTGGACTCCTACCAGGGCCCGGGCCCCGGGGACGGAGGCACCGCCAGCCTCGTGGGCAGCAACATGTTCCCCAATCAGTACCGCGAGGCAGCCTTCGGAGGCGGCCTCATGTCCCCCGGGCCTGAAGCCACGTAGCCCCGTGGTGCCGGAGGAGGGGCACTGGGTGGGGAGAGGGGTGGAGGAGCTGTGCAATCCCAATCAGGATGTCCAGCATCCCCATCCCCTTGGCCCACCCTTGGATTGGTCTTCCTCATGCTTCTGAAGCGGACATATTCAGCCTTGGCGAGAAGCTCCGTTGCACAGGTTTCCCCTTGAGCCCATTTTACAGATGAGGAAACTGAGTCCCGAGAGGAAAGGGTATGGCTCTCGTGCACTAGCTTGTTACAGCTGCCTCTGCCCCCACATGTGGGGGGACCTTCTCCAGTCGGTTTCGGAAAAGACTGTACATATGAGAGGAGGGGGCAGGTCCACGGCCCTCCCTCCCGAGACTTGAAGGTGGGGGGTAGGTTGTTAGAGTCTTCCCAATAAAGATGAGTTTTTGAGCCTCGGGGGTCTCGTCTGTTCTGCGCTTGGGAAACGCCCCAGTCCTTTACGCAGCAAAGAAAGCCTTCAGGCTGGGGGCTCACGCCTGTAATCCCAGGACTTTCGGAGGCAAGGCGGGAGGATCGCTTGAGACCAGCCTGGGCAACATGACGAAACCCAATCTCAACAAAAAATAGAAAAATCAGCCGGGCGTAGTGGTGCGCGCCTGTAATCCCAGCTACTTCAGAGGCTGAGGTGGGAGGATCGCTTGAGCCCGGGAGGTGGACGTTGCAGTGAGCTGAGACCGCACCACTGCACTCCACCCTGGGTGGCAGTGCGAAGCCCTGTCTCAAAAAATAAACCACTTCTCCCTATGGACTCCGCCCCTCTCGACTCTAGGACCCGCCCCTCACGTCGGCGGAAGTGCGCTGCGCGGCGTTCCACCTCACTCCGCCCCCTCCCCCTACCGCAGTCTTCCATTTCCGTTTCCGGTGCGGGCCGCGCGCTAGCGCAGCGGTGGGAGGCTGCAACCAGCCGGTGAGTGCAGGCGGCGGGCTCGACTTTCCGGCTTTCGGGCAGGCGTCAGCCCAGCTTCTTCCTTTCCTCGGGCTCTCCCCATGCTGCTGTGGGCCTCTGCTGCGTCCCGGCCCCGTGATCGCTTGTTCCTCACCCCTTTCGGCCTGATGGGCCGAAGGCCGCGCCCTTGCCCCGGCTGTGGGCCAGAAGTCGCCGCGTCTCTCTCGGCCTTCGGCCCAGCAGCCTGTCAGAGGCACCGCCCCCTTGTCAAAAAACAACAACAACAAAAAAAACAAACAAAACTAGCCCAAATCATCCGGCCGCGACGCGATCCACAAGCCCGGTGCAACCCCTCGGTCTCTTCCCTCGCACGCAAGCCCTGCCCCCAAGCTCAGCCCACGCCCTCCCGCCAGCCAGCTCCGCCTCTCTCAGGCTCTACCCTGTTTTTCCTGGGATACTGTCTCTACGACGGCATCTAGATCCCCTCTTTAGACCTCAGCTTCACTCTGGTCTCCTTGCAGTACCCCCTCCCCATGTTCCCGCTCTAGCATCTTCATCTTCCGCCACATCCTTCACCCGTCCTCGACCTCCACCTTCGTACAACTGCGCTTGCTCCCTTAAAGGCTTTCTCCGATTTCTTTCCCCTGCCCTCATCCTTTTCCTCCTCATCTAGCATGGGGGAGCCTTTTCAGTTCTTCTCTTTCCCTTGAGATCCAGCCTTAGGTGCTCAGGGTTTGCCTTCTGACTTGACTTCAAACACTACTAATGTTTCAAAACCATGCATCCCTGACTCCAGCGCGTGGAATCTAGGACACCCCTTTCCCAGGGATGCTCACCTCAGAATCACCTAAGGGTTTTTCAGATTGCCCAAGTTGCCAAATGGAAGTTGTTAGAGATGGACTTGGACATCTGGCACACCGTTCTGAAGCCATACCCCTGCTCCCTGAACCTAAGAGATGTGTTGTTTGAGATCGACTCTGTCACCAACTTGTTAGATGACTTTGATTCTGCCCATATAGTTTTCACAGCCTATCTGACGCTCCTGATACCTTCATCCCTCAGGTTGAGGCCCCAGGCTTGGCCTCACCACAATGTGGCACGAGGCTAGGAAGCATGAGCGGAAGCTTCGAGGCATGATGGTCGACTACAAGAAGCGGGCAGAGCGGAGACGGGAGTATTATGAAAAGATTGTGAGTAACTGGCCTTTCGCCTGGGGTGAGGGACCCTGGGTTGGGGGCCGAAGCTGGTCATCCTGATAAAATCTGGGCTTGGAAGTATGCCAGGACAAGAGCTTCATTTCCTCAGGAGTATATTTGTTAATCGTTTCTTGAGCATAATCATTGATAAGATCCCAAGGGCTTCTGTGTGTCGTAGCATACTGTGTCATTTGGTCAGTGCCAGTTGGGTGTTAGCAAGAAGAAGGGAAATCTCTGTAATGCCAGTACTGGCGTTAGACCGGCCACCTTCAGAATGTTGTCTGTTTTGCTTATTGCTGGCTTCCCCATGCCCGGAAGAGCTCTTGAGGTTTGGCTTGGCATACAACAGGAGTGAGTATTAAGTTGGCTGGGTGTGGTGGCTCACACCTGTAATCCTGGCACTTTGGGAGGCTGAGGTGGGTGGATCACCTGAGGTTGCAAGTTTGAGATCAGCCTGGCCAAAATGGTGAAACCCCGTCTCTACTAAAGATAGAAAAATTAGCCAGGCGTGGTGGTGTGTGCATGTAATCCCAGCTACTCGGGAGGCTGAGGCATGAGAATTGTTTGAATCTGGGAGGAGGAGACTGCAGTGCGTGGAGATTGTGCCACTGCACTCTAGCCTGGGTGACAGAGCAAGATTGTCTCCAAAAAAAAAAAAAAAAAAAAAAGAGGAGTGAATATAAAGTGAAATCTGACCACTTCTGTCTCCTGTTTGATGCTTCACTTGCTTTTGGGGAGAAGACCAGACTATCACTGGCCTAAAAGACCCTTGTGGTCTCACCACTCAGCCTCATCCTTGGACAGCTCCACTGTCCTCTGTTTCTGTCACCACCGGGCTTTAGCCTAAAATGCCCCCTCCTCACCTGTTTAACTCCTGTGTATCCTAAGCTGGGCTTGGTGGCTCGAGCCTGTAATCCCAGCACCTTGGGAGGCCGAGGCAGGTGGATCATGAGGTCAGGAGCTCAAGAACCAACCGGCCAACACAGTGAAACTCCATCTCTACTAAAAATATGAAAAACTTCGCTGGGCGTGGTGGCACATACCTGTAGTCCCACCTATTCAGGAGGCTGAGGCAGGAAAATCACTTGAAACCAGAAGGTGGAGGTTACAGTGAGCCAAGATCGTGCCACTGCACTCCAGCCTGGGCAACAAGAGCAAAACTCCATCTCAAAAAAACAAGCAAACAAACAAACAAACAAAAACCTCCAGTGTATCCTTGGTATTCCAGCTTGAAATGGCACCTGTTTACTAGCTTCGGTTCTGTTAGATGACATTTACATAGGCATTCCCCATTTACTCTTGTGTTACCGCCCCAGCCTCCTCCCTGGTCTGCCGGCCGCCAGTTCTGGCCCCTCCAATCTATCCTACCCGGAAGGATCTGAGAGGCCTTTCAAAAGCGCAAAACTGACCTTGTCCCTTCCTTGCTCAGAGTACCTCCATGGCTCCTAAGTGCCCTTGAGAGAAAGCCCAGGCTCCTTACTTTGGCCTTTGGGCCCTGCATGGCTTGGCCGTTGCCCCTCCTCTAGACTCAGCGCCACCCCACACTCTGCCTTGTTCGTTCGTGCAAGTCATTTTGGCCTCCTTGCTATTATTCCGCTGACGCATGCACGCCCCGGCCACAGGACTTCCGTATGACCTCTTTCCATACCTGGTTCACTACTGCCTGTCTGTCAGATCTCAGTTGTCAGGGAAGTCTTGTTTCCCAGGCTCTGTCAAGTGTCCTTTAAAAATGCCATCATCATTGCTCCCTTCCTCTCTGTGGAATTTAACATACTTGAGATATACATACATGGGCCGGGCACGGTGGCTCACGCCTGTAATCCTAGCATTTTGGGAGGTTGAGGCAGGTGGATCACCTCAAGTCAAAAGTTTGAGACCAGCCTGGCTAACATAGTGAAACCTCATCTTTCCTAAAAATACAAAAATTAGCAGGATGTGGTGGTGGGCCCTTGTAATTCCAGCTACTCGGGAGGCTGAGGCAGGAGAATCACTTCAACCTGGGAGGTGGAGGTTGCAGTGAGCCGAGATCACGCCACTGCACCCCAGCCTGGTGACAGAGCAAGACTCCA